ATGCTTTTGATGAAAGCCATGTTGCTCTGGGGCTATTAAATTGTGGCTTTCCAAGTATTGCATCAGCGCGTCTGCGATGATTGATTCCATCACTTTGGATAGTACGGGAAGTAGTGTTATTGGACGGTAGTTGGCAGGATCAGTGCGGCTACCTCCTTTATGGATAAGAGTGATGACCCCTTGCTTCCATACTGGTGGAATACGGTTCTCTTCTAGACATCGCTGATAGAAAACAGCCAGTGGTTATGCTAGATCACTAGCTACCGCCTGTAGAGCCTTTGGTCGGATGTTGTCAGCTCCGGGAGAACTGTGGGTACGCAAGGATAACAACTTCTTCAATACAGCTTCCGCAGTGAAGGTGATGTTTTCTAAACCAGATGGCGGAGTATTAGAAATGAGGAGAATGTTTGTGCTCGTTACCTGCTGGAAACTTTGGGAGTAATGAAGCCGTAGGAGATCAGCTGCTTCCATTGCTGATCGCATGCATCCATCAGTCGTGACTAGCGCTGGAGCCCCCCGCTTCACTTTTCGAAGGCCGTTAACGTGCCTGCACAGGAGTTTGCGGTTAGTGCAGAATCGCTTCATTAACTTCTGCTGATAAGTGACCATTGGAAGTTGGCGTACGGACGTTTGAAATACTTGCATAATCTCGGAGTCTAAGTGACGCTGGATACAACGATGTAGTCGTCTGGTGTCTTGGAAGTGCAGTCGGCAATCAATCTGGATAATGCGTCAGCATGACCAAGCGAAGACGTAAATTTAAAACGCAAATCGAAATCGGATGCTACTAAGGTGGTTGTCCAACGTTGTAATCTGTTCACAGTGTGAACGGAGATGCTTCGTTTGGTGTCAAAAATAGATAGCAATGGTTTACGGTCTGTGTACAACGTAACTTTGCGTCCATGTACCATATAACGAAATTTCTTAACCGTAACATGGAGTGCTAATCCTTCTTTCGCGATTTGACTGTAGTCCTTTTCTGCTGTTATCAACATGCGGGAAACACGCATTACAGCCTTCGGATGTCCATTTGGAAACTGATGCAGCAAGACACCACCGATACCGTTTTGTGAAGCATCCATAGCGACAATGATTGCTAATACTGGATCGTAGAGAGTTAAAAGATCGGAGGACAATATTTGTTTGATGTCCTCAAAAGCTTTCTGGCACTGCGATGACCAATGCCACACTGACTCGTTCGCCAAAGTGCATTTAGTGGGGCCCGGAGCTCGTGCATCTGAGGGACAAAGTTTTGATAATAGTTAACTAGACCCAATAAGGACTGCAAAGTAGCTTTGTTCGTGGGGTGTGTCATTAACTTGATGGCTTTTATTTTGTTTAGATCTGGTCGCTGACCGGAATCTGTTGATAATGGAGCCAAGGAATGCGATAATGGGCATCATGAGCTGGCACTTACCTGGACGTACATGAAATCCATATGAATCTATCCTGGTGAGTGCTTCGTTTATGTGGGCGTCTTTATCTTCAACTATTATGTCATCCAAATAAGCCGTTGCACACGGTAATCGGGATAGCATAGCATCCATCACTTGTTGTAATATTGTTGGAGCACATTTTACTTCGAAATGTAACCGATTGTAACGATACAAGCCTCGATGAGTATTGATAGTGAGTAGTTCTTTTGAACTCTCCCAAACTACTACGTGTAAGAAACGAACAGTTTTAGAAAAAATCTTTCCTCCGTTAAGCTTTGTCAATAACTCCTCGGGAACAGTTAAAGGATACTGATGCGTTTCCAATGCGTTAATTAATTCCGGAGAAAAATCAGTACAATTTCGCAAACTGCTATTAGCCTTTCTGATGACTACAATAGGAGCGGCCCACGCTGAGCAAGTCACAGAACTGATGACGCACAAGGACTCCAGTCGACTAATTTCGGCATCCACTGCCTCAACAGCAGCGTATGTTAGTGGTCTTTTGGGACAAAATACTGGACGTACACCGGTACGCGGATACAACACATCTTCTACCTTAGAACACATTCCAAGACCCATTGCAAAATCATTGGGGCATTTAGAGGCAAAATATGCTAAAGCTACTGCACTGTCTTTAGACGTTACAGGTGCAACCCAATACTGAAAATCGGTGGGACACAGGAAATACTATCTGGGTTATCACAAATACTGTTCAAAGCTATGTTCCATAAGTTAAGTTTGTCTATCCAATCAATGCCTAGCAAGTTCAAATGTCCATAACGTGTAACATAACAAACACCATTAGCATGCAAATTGCGAAGTGTAAACGCACAATTGAACTGTGCAAAAAAGAGTAATTCAGTATCGGACGCGTCGTGAGCGATGTGCGAATTTTAAACACATGCGGGTTTACCGAGCTTGCTTCATGACAACTCACAGATTATCGTAATATCGGAAGCCGTGTCCAGTTGAAGCCGGACAGAAATACCGTTTATTATAATTGTAACATACTTCCGCAGTGTCTGGTAGTTCGGGCTAGTGGTTGCAAACACGACATTTGAAAGGCAGCTTTGAAAACTTGGAGTTTTGGCGAAGTTTCGTGACGGTCTTCCAGAGTCTCCCTGCAAACATCTCGTTTCCTTATGTCCCACATTCCCCCAACACTTGCAAACATATCGTCTGAATTCACAAAATCAAGCGAAACGCCACTGACAACAGTGGCAACAAGCACTAGACGTACGACCTCAGCGTGCGAAGTCGAAGAGATGCACTGCATTGTGCGATGGTCTGGAGCGTGTAGGAATAGTATGAACACCCAACACACAAGACCCGCTTTACCGTTGGATCATTTCCTTGTCATGCTTCAGTGTCAACATACATTCACATTCCAGTCCGACCTCCTGTAGTGAGACTTCT